CATCTCGCAGAGAGCCTTGTGCTCCCGATGGTGGGCATCAACAAGGGTCTGAAGAGCAGCTATCTCATCCCGAGACCGATCAGCAATCCCACGAGCTAACCTTAGCTCGTCACGAAGAGATGTCAGAGCTCTCTCGTTCTCAAGCTGAGCAAAGGCAAACTCAGCTCGATGCTTCGAGACAGTGTCCGCCATTTGGAGACGCCTGTCCCGCTCATGTTCGAGATCGCCGCGTAACCCTTGCGTTACGCGATCAAAGAAGCTCTCAGGACCACACAGATCCCGACGATCGTGTGGAGAGCGTCTTTCCTCCTCCTCCACCTCCATTAGAGGACTCTCGCGGTGGCCAGCGCTATCTGGTTGAGTGGCTGTTGAACCACCGCGACGTGAACGGACGTCGGACGAGTTATCTCGTCCGGTGGCGTGGCTATCCCCCGTCCTTGGATACTTGGGAGCCCCGCTATCAGCTGATGGTTGACGTACTGGGTCTGGTTGAGCAGTACGATGCGGCACATCCTGTGCCGCAGAAGGACCGCCGGAGAAAGTCTTCCCGGCACGGTCGTAAAGGTATTTCAGGTTGTCAGTCCCTTCGTACATCTCAGTAGAGATACGTACGCGCCACCACGGGCTAGTAAGGAGGTAAGCCTCCTTAAATGCTCGTGCAGAGTCTCCCCAAGAGAGGCAGGATAATCCTTTCTCCTTAGACAGACGATGCAGCTTGTAGCGTGCACCTGTTGGGGTTCGCTTTTCAAACTTATCACGAGCTTTGATAAGTTTGTCGTTCCAAGCGTCACGACCTACATCCTCGAGGTTATGGATGTAGGCGTTCCACGCTTGAAGCAGTGACGGACCATCACATTTGTGATTCCCACTGTACCATCGATGTTTGAAGAAAACATCGATGAAGAATTCATGTTCAGCGCGATAGTTTTTCGCGCTGGGGTCAAGGTGATGGATCCTTGACGAATCGAACAACCGTGTTCGATAACGATCACTCGTCGTCGCCGACAAGTGATCCATGACGAATTTAGGAGGCATCCATGCCTTCTTCTCAGGAGCGAGACGCAAGACATTGCGATCCCGCTCTTCCTGCGACGTGCCGACAGAAGTCCTGGCACCTCGCTGTGAAGCGGTGTCAATAGGAGAACCGACACCACTGTTAGCGCCCGAGTCTCGCGACCTCGAGCGCCTTCGCTTCGGCGATGGTTCATCTGATTCATCAGATGAACCAAAGATGCTACGACGCATAGCATCATCCATGCCACGCTTGGCAGGCGGCTTAGATTTGATTGCCGTCGATACGGATCCGTCTTCCGTATCAGGAGAGTACGAGACACCGAGCTCGTACTCTGTGAAGACATGAGTGTCTTCATGACCAGCGCCTGTATCACCAAGTGACACAGGCTGAGTCGCTTCAGCAACCGATGAGACATCAGTTGCTGTGGTTTCTGCTTCGGCGTCCGCACAGAGACGTGCGGACGCGCTCTCGGCGGCCTTGCTCGCGCATCGCATGGGCTTGTTAACCATGCGTTGAAATGTTGGAAAGTGGACTCGGACCAACAAGTGCAAACCCTGTCCCAAATGATTTGGGACGAGTATCCATTTAGTCAATCAGTCACTAAAGTGACCGATGGTTAAGGAGGGGTGGATGTAACGGGGTGAATCGTTACATAACAATTTATAAGAATGGTTCTTAGAATATAACTATAAGAGTTATATTCTCAGAATATTGTCATAAGGACAAATATTCTGTAGCACTTACGAGTAGTTCCTAATTGGTTGATATAGGCCATTATATCAACCAACGAAGACGCACCACGACAGACGCACGCAATGAGTGGTGAGCAGATAACTGATTTACACATTTGTATTTAGACATAGTTAGATGAAGATAAATAGTGATTTATTGCAGACATTAACTATGATAAATACAGTTCTACTTTTTACTTTAACCAAGTACTCGCTTCTTCTTATCGTCTTCCTCTGCACGTACGAGTGTACGTGAAGTTACGAGGCACCGCCTTATTCTGTCATCAGAATAAGTAGCTTGTACTGTCACCAGTACAAGCTTCAGGGTGCCCCGTTACAAATTGTGCTTTTAAGCGAATCACTTCTCCTTGCTCTTTTGATTTTACTGCATAAACCCACATCGTCGTCAACATGTTTGTCGCAGGTGGCACATCCTTTAGCGAAATTTCCTCGAGCAATCCTTTCATTTTCAGTGTTTCAAGCTCATTTAACTCTGCTTCACACCACTTGCGTGCATATTCAGATCGTAGTGCTTCCACATGATTTTTCGGGATCTTGACATTACCTTTTTAGTAGTCCTTTGTATCCGTTACTGCAGGTACTTTTTATTGCATGAACGATATAATCGTTAAAACGCGCTGGCAATCGACGCTGACTCGTACTCCGAAAATTCTCGCGCCTCTTCTTTACTTGCACATCACAAGTGATACTTCCTGTGGACGACAGCTGTGCACGCTTGCGTATCGTAGGCTCCACTTGAACTGATAGTTCTGCCGCGCTACCAACATTTTTCATGTCAATTTCTGCATCATACTCAACCGAGCCTTGTTAGCCGTCAATTGAGCTGGTGTGTGAGCTGGTATGGCTCATACCACCTTGTAAATCCTTCTCAAATTGGCCACTTACGCAAGTGTCATCTTCTTCCATCGAGTCGCCATCAGGTTCAGCCATGTTACTGATCCTACATTCTGATGCACGAGCCCCAAAGTCATCCACATCTCGATGGACAGAGTCAACTGCGCCACGATAACCGACCGGCCGTGTCCAAACGCTGTCTTGTTCATCCGCGTCTTGTGCATCGGTTAAGCTGTCGTCGTCGTCAATAATGCTTTTCTCAACATTAAGTTTGTCATCTTTAATAATGCTGTCCGTGGCTACGGTTTCTGCAACATAATCGCCCTTTTCGATACTTGCATTTACATCGCTGTTGGCGTCCGAGAGTGTGGCCGTGATGGTGTGGTGGTCGCGAAAAAGATCGTGCTCATTTACGCAAATGTCTGGTACAAATTTTCGCGTACGATCATCCGGAAATTAGAGCTTACAACCCAATACATCGGCCGTGTATCCCAGAACATATCCGATCTTGGCGTGACGATTAAGCTTGCGACGCCGTGCGTCGGCTCCAACGTGAGCATACGCTAGAGATCCAAACGTGCGAAGAAGATGAATGTCTGGCCGCATGCTAAACATCTTTTCGTAAGGTCTGCTGTTACATCCTCGATTAAATTTCCGGTTCTTGATAAAAATCGAGTATTGAAATGCATCGGTTTAAAAAATCTGAGGCAATCCTGAGCGCTCCAACATTGAACGCGTCATCTCCATCAGCGTTCTGTGCACACGTTTGCAGGGGTTTTGCTGCGAGCTGGAAGGTCCAACCTGTACAGCTCGATACCTCAAATTTTCAGCCACAGTGTAAACTCGGTACTAGCAAATTCTCCACCTTTATCCGTCAGCAACTGGCGAACAGGATATGCAATTTGCGCTGCGTCACTTTCTTCGGTTGCATGGCGACGAGCTTTTCGTTCAACCCAAGCAATGTGTTGTTTCAGCGTTGCGGCTATTGCATCTGCTGCTTTTGTTCGCAGCATGTAAGATGTAACGAACTTGCAGTAAGCCTATATGATCACCAAAACTGCACCAATTTGAGTGTCGCTATTTACGCCTGCACCAACAAAGCTGCATATACAAGCTCATTTGGCTCCACAGTGCGTCGGTCAAGCTTCTTTTATAACGTCTTCCGCACTTGCTTTGCCAAGTGACACGTCTCGCAATCCCTTACGTCATGTCCGGATAGCATCATTCCGTCAACAAGCTTTCGGTCAACCATCAACTTGATGTAATGAGGGCATTTGTGGACCAAACGCTTATGCCATAATTGCAGATCTATAACACCATCTCGAGCCGTAAAGTTTAATACGCGCGTTTCTGGATGTGGCTTGGTCTGTTTACCTTATACAACTTGTCCCTCGAATACTCATACTGCTCCGACTTTGTCGGCTAGTGCCACCGTTTCACCACTTTTCTGTATGGTAAAATCGGTGCGCATTGGAGTCCCATTCAAATTTTAATCCATCTTCAAGCGCACGCTCCATCGACAACAGCGGATTTCTTGCGCCAACAACGAGTAGTACGTCGTCAATAACCGTGAGTACGGTCTTTCCAGCAACAGATGATTCAAGTAAGATCGTTCCAACTCCGACTGGTTGTCCCTGAAAGCTGGATGCAACTCCACGCACAGTTGCTTCATCGCGAGAGAGCTCCCAATATCGAATAAAGTACCGCTTGTCTCCTACCACATGTGTATTGGATGCAGTGTCAATATACTACTCCTGCATCCCAATACTATCGGCAAGTAGGTCATTGTCTTGTTGAGCTTCGTCCACGTAATTTAATTCCAGGGTGTAACGGGGCACCCTGAAGCTTGTACTGGTGACAGTACAAGCTACTTATTCTGATGACAGAATAAGGCGGTGCCTCGTAACTTCACGTACACTCGTACGTGCATAGGAAGACGATAAGAAGAAGCGAGTACTTGGTTAAAGTAAAAAGTAGAACTGTATTTAGTATAGTTAATGTCTGCAATAAATCACTATTTATCTTCATCTAACTATGTCTAAATACAAATGTGTAAATCAGTTATCTGCTCACCACTCATTGCGTGCGTCTGTCGTTACGCGTCTTCGTTGGTTGATATAATGGCCTATATCAACCAATTAGGAACTACTCGTAAGTGCTACAGATATTTGTCCTTATGACAATATTCTGAGAATATAACTCTTATAGTTATATTCTAAGAACCATTCTTATAAATTGTGATGTAACGATTCACCCCGTTACATCACCCCCCCTTAACCATCGGTCACTTTAGTGACTGATTGACTAAATGGATACTCGTCCCAAATCATTTGGGACAGGGTTTGCACTTGTTGGTCCGAGTCCACTTTCTAACATTTCAACGCATGGTTAACAAGCCCATGCGATGCGCGAGCAAGGCCGCCGAGAGCGCGTCCGCACGTCTCTGTGCGGACGCCGAAGCAGAAACCACAGCAACTGATGTCTCATCGGTTGCTGAAGCGACTCGGCCTGTGTCACTTGGTGATACAGGCGCTGGTCATGAAGACACTCATGTCTTCACAGAGTATGAGCTCGGTGTCTCATACTCTCCTGATACGGAAGACGGATCCGTATCGACGTCGATCGAATCTAAGCCGCCTGCCAAGCGTGGCATGGATGATGCTATGCGTCGTAGCATCTTTGGTTCATCTGATGAATCAGATGAACTATCGCCGAAGCGAAGTCGCTCGAGGTCGCGAGACTCGGGCGCTAACAGTGGTGTCGGTTATCCTATTGACACCGCTTCACAGCGAGGTGCCAGTCCTTCTGTCGGCACGTCGCAAGAAGAGCGGGACCGCAATGTGTTGCGTCTCGCTCCTGAAAAGAAGGCATGGATGCCTCCTAAATTCGTCATGGATCACTTGTCGGCGACGACGAGTGATCGTTATCGAACACGGTTGTTCGATTCGTCAAGGATCCATCACCTTGACCCCAGCGCGAAAAACTATCGCGCTGAACATGAATTCTTCATCGATGTTTTCTTCAAACATCGATGGTACAGTGGGAATCACAAACGTGATGGTCCGTCACTGCTTCAAGCGTGGAACGCCTACATCCATAACCTCGAGGATGTAGGTCGTGACGCTTGGAACGACAAACTTATCAAAGCTCGTGATAAGTTTGAAAAGCGAAACCTGACAGGTGCACGCTACAAGCTGCATCATCTGTCTAAGGAAGAAAGGATCATCCTGCCTCTCTTGGGGAGACTCGTGCCCAAGTTGTGTGAACAACTCTGCACGAGCACCTAAGGAGGCTTACCTCCCTAATAGCCCGATGTGGCGCGTACGTATCTCTACTGAGATGTACGAAGGGACTGACAACCTGAAATACCTTTACGACCGTGCCGGGAAGACTTTCGCCGGCGGTCCTTCTGCGGCACAGGATGTGCCGCATCGTACTGCTCAACCAGACCCAGTACGTCGATCATCAGTTGGGAGCGGGGCTCCCAAGTATCCCAGGACGGGGGATAGCCGCGCCACCGGACGAGATAACTCGTCCGACGTCCGTTCACGTCGCGGTGGTTCAACAGCCGCTCAACCAGATAGCGCTGGCCACCGCGAGAGTCCTCTAATGGAGGTGGAGGAGGAGGAAAGACGCTCTCCACACGATCGTCGGGATCCGTGTGGTCCTGAGAGCTTCTTTGATCGCGTAACGCAAGGGTTACGCGGCGATCTCGAACATGAGCGGGACAGGCGTCTCCAAATGGCGGGCACTGTCTCGAAGCATCGAGCTGAGTTTGCCTTTGCTCAGCTTGAGAACGAGAGAGCTCTGACATCTCTTCGTGACGAGCTAAGGTTAGCTCGTGGGATTGCTGATCGGTCTCGGGATGAGATAGCTGCTCTTCAGACCCTTGTTGATGCCCACCATCGGGAGCACAAGGCTCTCTGCGAGATGCTTGAGCGCAAGGGCGTTCTTCATCGGAAGAAGCAGCGTACTGATGGTACGGCTTAAGCCGACCAACGTAAAACTTGGGATGCGTTCGCATCTTACGTGGCAACTCGATCGTGTATGCATTGCCTAGGCGGTGCAATACACGAAATGGGCCGATGTACTTGGGTAGTAGTTCACTGCTACCCAAGTTAGTCACTACATGTCGTGGTAGATTAAACATAGACAGTAGGACGAAGTCACCTTTATTAAATAAAAGAGTGTTTGCCCTTACATTCTTGTCAGCGTTTTGCTTTTGCTTATCCACCGCTTCGGCGATGGAGTCTTGCACAAAACGGACTACCGTTTCACGAGCCAGTATGAACTCATCTGATGACTCGTTAGCTTCAGTGCGCTGTGAGCGCACTGCAGCGACAACAATCTTTTCTTCAGTGAGGGCTTCCGCACTCTCACTGGCATCATCTTCTTCGATATCGATGTTGTCGATATCGGCATCAAACGCAATGACCTCATCGTCAGAGCGTGATGAGCGTGAGCCAATTCGGTTTTTGCTCGCGCGAGTCCCTCCCCCCCCTTGAAACAGAGTCACACTCTAGCAAGGTGGGTACACGCGGATGGCGCAAGCCATTCACGTAAAACGGTGTATGTGTCGTGGACGCATGCACCGAGTTGTTAATGGCAAACTCTACCATTGGCAAAAACACACTCCAACTCTTAAAGGAGTGTACGTATCCTCGAAGTATCTCTTCAAGGACACGATTGGCACGTTCCGTCTGACCATCTGACTCTGGATGATCAGATGTAGACATCTTCAAGCGCGTTCCGAGTGATTTGAACACGGAACGCCAGAAATCAGCAGTGAATCGTGGATCTCTGTCTGATACGAGTTCACGGGGCAACCCATGAAGTCGGAAGATGGTGTCAATAAAGACACAAGCACAGCCACTTGCTGTGATTGACTCTGGTACAGCCACAAGGTGTACCATTTTGCTGAATCTGTCAGCAAATACGAGAATACCCGTATTCCCGCGTGCGTCTTTGGGTATCCCGAAGACTAAATCCATTGAGATGGATTCCCAGCACTCAGCCGGAACCGGTAGAGGCTGTAAAGGTGCACGCAGTGAAGGACTTGACTTCACTCGTTGACAGACTTCGCATGCGCGAACATACTTTCGCACAAACTGATACTGGCGGGGCCAGTAAAAGTCTCGACTCACCGTGAGATATGTTTTCTTCCGGCCACGATGTCCTCCTATAGGAGTATCGTGATACTCGAACATGATCCGCAAACGCAGATCAGTATCATCTGGAATGACAACACGTGGTGTGTCACCAGAAACGGCTGTATAATACAGTAAACCGTTGCGAGTAGTGTATCGATCTGATGCAGATCGATACGTAGACGACAATCGTTTCAACGATTCTCGAGATGGCTGTGAGAGATGTGTCATCAGCTTCACAATCTCACCATCTTGGGCATATGCCCGCCTCACATCATCATGCAACGTTGTAGATGGGACTGAGGACGTCATAACCGCAACAGTGGCTGCCTCAATGTTGGGTTTCACGACTGATTCAAAGTCGGGACGACGTGAGAGTGCATCAGCGTCGACATTAAGTCGTCCTGGTTTGTACTCGACCGTAAAGTTGTATTCTGCGAAGAATGACAACCACCGCGCCATTCGTTGTGAAAGGTGCGGGCTGTTCACTGCCGTGCGTAATGACGCATGGTCAGTGTAAACAATGAAGGGTCTATCTCCTAATAGATAGACTCTGAACTTCGCGAGTGCATACTTCATGGCAAGGAGTTCCTTGTCATGCACTGGATAGTTCCGCTCAGCTGGTTGAATCTGACGCGACTGATAGCAGACGACGCGTTTAACGCCTTCAAGATCGTACTGCATTAATGCACAGCATATTGCGAAATCGCTGGCATCACAGACCACATGAAATGGCCTGTCCTGATCGGCAGTCGCTAGGACTGGGGATTGTATCAAGCTCTGCTTGATACCCTCAAAGGAGCGCTGACATTCAGCGTTCCAACACCACCTCTCGTTCTTTTTCAACAAACGAGAGAGGTGCACAGTCATCTCGGCGTAATTGCGTGAATACTTATGCAAATACGCCGCTGGCCCAACGAATTTTCGAAGACCCTTGACGTCGACTGGCACAGGCCAGTCGGTGATCGCCTTGATCTTTTCGGGATCATGACGTACACCGTTCTTACCAACGATGCACCCAAGAAGTGGCATTTCGCTTGCTGCAAACATACACTTCTTGAGTTTTGCATACAATTGATGCTTTCGCATGATTGTAAGAACCTGTCGGACGTGGTACCTGTGAACCTCAACGTCCGACTTTCCATCCATAGCCCGACTATGGATGAAACGTCATCGAAATAACTCGGCGCGAATTCTCGTACCGGTCTCAACAGATGTGATACACATCTGTTGAACGTGGCAGGGGCATTACTAAGTCCTTGTGGCATTACTAGCCATTACCAAAGCATGCCGCTCGGATTGCTCACTGCGGTGTAGGGTATATCCCGTTCCCGCATAAGGATTTGATAGAAGCCATCCATCAAATCCATGGACGAAAAGATGGTACTCTTTGACATACCATCTATGATTACGTCCTTCCTCGGTATCGGCGTCTGAGCCGGTACCGTTGCAGCATTCAACTTATTGAATGCATGCACTACCCGCCACCCTCCTGTTGCTTTTCGCACACAGAAGGTCGGAGAGCTATGTGGGGAAGTTGATTCCCTCACATGGCCCGCAGCTAAACGATCGGCAAAGAACTTGTCGATCGCAAGTACTTGTTCACGAGGCAGTGGCCACTGCTTCATGACACAGTACTTCGAGCCTGGTTTAAGCTCGACCTCGTGTCGAATACCTTTATCCTTCGGTAATTCGCACGGAACAGTTTTAGGGAATTCATCCTTGAATTCAACCAAATCTTCATAGAGAGGATTTGTCTTGAGCGATTCCCACGATTGGAAGTCATATCGCTCAATTCGTATCTTTTCATCTAGGACACTCTCGTCCATAGATGAACTACTGAGAACTCTCTCGTTCTCAATAAACACTGTTGCTGACCTTATGTCGGTTACACACTCGTCGTCAGCGACGAGTACGCAGATCTGCTTGACTATGCCACTATGCAGATCGCGCAAGAACCTTTTATGTTCGAGCGTTGGCAACTGAGTGATCTCCGAAGTCAACTTTGGAGGCGCAATCAGATCAAGTGTGTAAGCGCCTACGCTTGATCCGTTATTGACTATGACATTCAATGTATCTGTCATTTCCTGGGGACTTATTCCCTCGGGCCTCGAAGGACTTATTCCTTCGGCTTCCCGGGGACTTATTCCCTCGGGTTTCGGGGAACTTATTTCCGCCGTATTTGTAATCTTGGGACTTATTCCCTTAACTTTCTCTAGCTGGGGTTGCGCAATCACAGAGAGATCCTCTACGAAAGACTCTCCAGTCGATCTAGGATTATCGTTTCCTTTAACCTGAGCGATCGATTGTTTCTCTTCTAGATGTTCCCCGCTAGGGATACATCTTTGTCCCGGTCCACCCGACTTATTCGAGTGGTGGACCTTCGGCGCAGCCTGTGTTTCCTCACAGCCGCCGGAACTTTTCTCCGAAGTGTTACTGTTTGGTACACTAAGGTTTTGTGCAGTCGTACTAACGACCGTACCACAAGTGAGGCCATCGCACTCACTCGTAGTACATCCACACGCTTATGGACGCTCCAAAACGTTCATCAGATGGCCATCTGATGAACAAGCCGCAGGCATCGTTACTGTTCGATGTTGCCAGTTTACCCGTGGTTCGTACCTTCTGAGCCACAGTATTCCAAGAATGACATCAAATTTGTCATCCAAATCCAATACGATAAAGTCATCGTCATATTGGGTATCTTCTAGCGTATAGTGGATCTTCACTATACGCTTCATGACGGTTACGGATGCGCCTGTCGCAAGACGTACCGTCATCCTCGTAGAAGGTGTGTCACATTTACTGAACTTGAAGTGACCATCTTCTAGCGATTGGCGTCGCACAAAATTGTTGGACGCCCCACAATCGACTAGAGCTCGAAGGGACAACTCATTTGTCACTTCGAGTTTCAAGGTAATGAGTGAGATCTCATTACCTATAGCAGCAACGCACAACGTTTGTGTGTTGGGAGCAACCTTCATCAAGAGGCCTACAAATTCTCTTGACGTTGCTTTACCAGTAGGATGCTCCACACCTACTGATCCTGACCGTTTTTTGACGGTCCATCCCGTTGTTGCGTCTTTGCACCAACAGCGGACCCGCGTCCCTGCCCCTTTCTAATGGGTGGACGGTCACTACGCCCAGTGTTGCGAGACACTGGACGAGGGGCACTACACTCGTAAGCGTAGTGTCCTGTCTTCTGACATCTGTTGCATTTCTGCAACTTCTTGTAGTCTGTAGAGCGAGTCTTCTCGCTCTCTACATAACAGAGTTCCATCGGATCTGGACCTCCGCTGTCATATCGTCTCGGTTGACGATATGATGTCGAGCTGGCGCGAGCCTGTCTCAGACTGAAGTCTTTTCTGTTCCGCAATGGAAATGGCTTGTTCTAGTGAATCTAGTTCAAGCCGGAACAGGTGAGTCTTGACGGGACCATCCGCAAGACCCTGCATGAACACCGAAATCAACGTGTGTTCATCCACCGGATTGGAACTTATACAACTCGTGCGATGTCGTACATATTGCGCGTAAGCGTGCACATCACGCTTACCTTGTTTGAGCTTCAAGAGTTCGGTTCGAGCTCTGAACTCAGCTCTAGGCGGTTCAAACGTTTGTCTGAGCCGCGACTTGAAGACTTCTAACGATCCAAACGTATATGGGTCTTGCCACTTGAGCCCCAGTGCCCAAGTCTTGGCACGTCCTGCCAGATTTGATTGGGCAAATGCAACTTGCATATCCCCGTCGTCGATGCGACGCGCCCTTATGGCGTCATCCAATTCGACGAACCATCTCAAGAGGGAGTCCTCTTCGACTCCCCTATACTTGGAGATGTCAATCTTT